GTTTCAATATCAAGCAATCATCAGGAGTTGGATTGTGCACAGAACCGAAGCCAGTCCTTCCTCTTTTATCTTTATTCCCTCTTTAAATCGGAATAAAATTAAAACTGTCTGACAACTACCAAAGTTTGCTCTCTCTCTGTGCCTTCCAAGCAAAAATTTCACTCTTCCAAAAACCGTAGCCAAGCCATGCATCTCAATTATTTGTAAGATTTTTAATTCTTAATCTCATGCTTTCTGTCTCTAAGAATATATGTATATAATTATATTATATATACAAATACATATATATTTGTATATGAAGATGTTAATTTTAGCTGCTGAAATTACTTGCATTTTGTTGAGAGTAGGGTTAGAATGGACTTTGCATGTGCTAATAAATAATTGAAATTCTTGCAATTGATGAAGTGTAATTAGATTCTAGTTTTTGCTTAGAATTTTTGTTCATATTTGAAGAATAAAGTTTTATGGATTTTTGAAGAAATTGACAGAGATTGTGGTGCATGATAAATAGAGTGGTAAACAGGTGAATGTAGGAGAGTTTGATAATTGAAGAAGATAAGAAAAGCCAACAATGTGTATGAAGAAGATAGGATTCTTGAAGCTAGTCCTTCCCTCAAGAAATCCCAGATAGATATATCCAAGGTACATATATAACCCCGAAAATTTTTAATTTTTAAATTTTTATACAAATGTTGTTGGTGAGTGAGAGAATCAAACTTGGGACCTCGGTGCAAAGAGTTGAATGTTTTTAACCAACTCTTGAAACTACGGAAAAATCTCATTTCATAATCTTAGTTTTATTCACTATGTAAGCAAAAAACCATCTGCATTGCTTCTGATCTCCCCTTCTCTCTGTCTGTCGACCAATTTCATGTCAAGTCTTCTGCAATAGTGAGGGAACTTCATATGGCACGCAGGGAAATAGGTCGATTCAAAGAAAACAGAACGGACACAGACGCCTTAAGAACAAAGCGCAATCCGAGATGCTTGATGTGATGAAGAGAGCTAAGGATCCGTCTTCTGTAATTGAGGAATCAAGCTCCAAGGTGAAATCACATACACAAGAGATTGACGTACTAAAGAAATCGCAAAGGCACATAGGTAGGCGTGAAGACCAGGTATTGGCTATTGGGGATGTGGACAACAAAAAATATACAGAAGTGATGAGAGAATTGGAACTTGTGAGACAGGAACTAAGCATGCTTAAGCTTGATATGGCGTCGATTTTAGAAGAGAAATCGCGGGCAGAGAAGCAAACTGAGGCCTCAAATGCGAAGACGTTGTTTTATACAAGTTCAGTGGAGGCAATCAGGGACGAGATTGAGGAAGCAACTGAAGAGCAAGTGCTAGCTGAGTTGGCCCAGATTGAAGCTGCAAGAGAATTTGGAGAAATAGAAGCTGAGAGAGAAAGGGAAGCCAATCAATTCTCATCGGCAGTGGACAAAACCAGGAAGAAAATGGAAGATGTTGTTAAACAGGTTGATAACTCAAAAGTCCTCGAAACCAAGTTAGCTGTCACAATGTCTGATGTGCATGTGTTACAGAATGAACTAAAGGTAGTTAAAGAAATGGACAAAAGGATTCAAAGGATTGACAGCTTGAGTCGTTTAGAACCCAGTTTTCGGAAAGAGGAAGACTTGGAAGGTTCAGAGCTGTTACAGTCAGTTACGGAAGAACTTGAGGAGGCAAAGACAGAATTGGCTGCAGTAAAAGAAGAAGGTTTTCAGTACATGGCCTCCATGGATGTTATGAGAAATGAGCATAAGCATTTAACAAACAAGACAGCTCGGTTAAGGAAGACAGAAGAGAAATCAAACTTGAGGGTTCAAAATCTTAACTCAAAGCTTCTCCGAGCAAAAGCCAAGTTGGAAGATGTATCTGCATCCGAAGAGAAAGAAAAATCGATTGCGTCCAATCTATCTCTCACTCTTGACAAGCTCAAGGTAGAAGCAGAAGCTGCAAAGAAAGAAAAGGAGCTTGTCTGCGAAGGGACTGCAAGCATCAAGTCCGAAATTCTGAAAATGGAATTGGAGATAGAATCAACCGAGGAAAAGTTACAGGCTACAATGCAGGAGCTCGAAACAGTCAAATCATCCGAAGCTGTAGCGCTTGAAAATCTCAAAACTCTGATTGAGAACACCATACGGGCTAGAGCTTTTGAGTCACAGAGTAGTTCTTCAATAACCATATCCAAGTTTGAACACGAGTACCTGACTGGACGTGCGGTTGCAGCTGCAGGAATTGCGGATAAAAAGGTAGCAGCAGCTCAGGCATGGGTTGAAGCTCTAAAGGCCAGTGAGAAGGAAATACTGATAAGGACAGACTTAACTATGAGAGATCTTAAAAAGATGAGAGTGGACGAAAAGCAAGGAGAAGTACAAAATTGGGGACAAAAAAGGGGAAAGAATTGTAGTCTCTGGAAACTGGCAACAAACCACACCTAGAAAGGCTATGAAAAGTAATGGATACCAGACTCCATACAGGCCGGTGAGGTATAGAAAATCTGCTTCTCCTGGAGCTCGGAATAATTTCCCCATTCAAAAGAAAAAGAAGGTGATGCCTAATCTGACTAAGTTATTCAGTGGTAAGAAAACTGCCAAAGATGAGTGAGCTGTTTGAAGTTTACTACATCTTAAATCTTAATATGGCAAAGTGAATCCAGTCCATCAATTAAATAAATCGCACTGTCGTATTTTGCCTTGGGAGCTTGTAGCTTTGCTTTTTCTCCAATAAGTGCCGCTCCTAAAGCATTTGATTTACCGAAAAAACATGGAACTCTGGATCAAGTGAGCTTTGGGCTGAGAGTGTAGATCATTCATGCTGTAACTGTAATTTGGAATGTTTTCATATCAATAAGTAGAAGAGACGGCCCTTTTTTGTTCTGTATCTCAATTTAAAACATGCTTTGTATACATTTTCAGTCCTTCTCGTAAGAGCTTTTTGGAGTCCAATTGTTGTCTAAGATGGAATCACAGCCTTCGGTAATTCACAGTTTGTTTCAGAACGTCCAATCCCCATTCTCTACTTCTTGTTAGCTTGTGCAGGATGTGATTGCACCTTCGTGCATTCACTTGAATCAAAGCAAACAAACTTAATTCTCTCTTCATGCAACCACTACCATCCTATATTGCCTATATTGCTGTTCAGCCATATTTTGAGCTCGGGCCATGGCTGCTTGTCTTGTGTGGCGGTTTCTGAGGGGGCATCAAATATGCTCAAGGGCTGCAAAGCGATCTCCAATCCATACATGTTGAATGCAACAACCAGCCAAGAGCTTTCTGTATGAATTGAATTCCAAAGAATACATTAAGACCATACCTTCCAGCGGTTCCTCCTTGTTCCAGAAGGGTCGGTGTAATTTCTACCTTTTGGTGTTGGCGTGCCAACAGTCTGGTAGAAATTGAACCGGCAACAAATTCACAAGCCTCATCCCCAATGTTAACAACCTCAGCAGAAATCATGGTGAAAACTGCATACAACTCCATGCCATCAGCAACAAAATAGAAGAGAAGAACTGCACGCCTCTGCTGTTTTGGAGAACGATCTAACCAATCTCCTGTATGCCAAGCACAATCGGAGAACTTGAATTTTCAACTCGTGATGGTGTTTCAAAGATTACTTGGGGTGTAAGCAATCAAGTAGTGTGTTAAATACCATCTAATTGTCCTACTATTGTCGAAAAGCACGCACCATCTCTCAAATATTTAACTTGAAACACAAAATCTGGAGTTGAATTTGTTCTAACAAAAATTTTCCACACCTTGTGACGAACGCGATTTCGATAGGTGTTGGTTTATGGCTGGATAGGAAGTCGACCGATATGTTTTAATGAGGCTCATGTGTTGTTCGCCGGATCAACAACGATTTTAATGGCTTGCTTCGATGCACCCACAGATAGATATGGGTATAAAGAAACAAATGAAGAGGTCAAATAAAATAACCAAGGGAAGTGATATATGCACGTTCCTTTTCATTTTCTACGCACCTCGTATTAATTTTGATCGATGATTCTCTTTTGCTTTGTTCAATATAATAGCTTAGTGCATAGGAGGAGGTAAAAGAGTGCACAAATAACATATCTTCTTGGAAATACATTCAACATAGTGAATGCCACTTAGTATTACAATTTTGTGTTATTCCCCTTCACTTGTAAGTGAGAGGTCTTAAGTTCGATTCTCACCAAAACTAAATTTGAATCACATTATTGCTAACCCGTGTGAGACTAAGCTCACTCCCTCCTCCTTAGTGTAAATATCGATTGTTAAAAAAAATGTGAATAATCATATTCAAGCAATCATCTCTACTAAACGAGGCCTAAGAATACCAAAATGTAAATTTTAAGGTGAGAATTAGACCATGCTCGTTAATTATGTTGGGTGGTCAGTAAAACTGAAAGGAAAGAATATTGAAAGGAAAAATAACCAATGGAGTAGATAAATTAAAAGAAATAATCGTTTCGGGAAAAAAAAAGAAAAAGAAAAGAAACATGATTAGCCTTGCATTTTCATCAAATCAAACTGCATTTGCATGAGTCAATTTGTTGGGCCATGGAGGATCATACAATCAAATTGACCACACCAAATCTCCATTTGCTTGCACTTTCAGCGGCAATTCAATACACAAACAACGCCTCCAATTACGCTTAAACCAAAGGATGGACCACACCTACAAACACTAGTAAACTGCCCGGTTGTTTTCCATTTAGCCTATGTCTGGGTGACGGATTTTCTAAGTCCCGGAAGATTGAGGTCAACCTAGTAAGAAATTGATCATAAAATGTTAAATAAGAGGGATCAGATTTGCACCATACGAGCATTACAAAAGCATGATTGTATAGTGCAAATATAATCGTTACTGCTTAACATTTTGTGTTTCCTTTCTTACTAACCTGGCCTCAATTTCTTGGAACTTGAAAAGGTATCACCCAAATGTAGCTTAGTGTAAATCAGATTTCTCACATATCAACAAGTTGAAGCAAATAATCAAGGCTTGCATAATTGCCTTGACATATGACCGTTAATCACTCCTGTTGATAATAATGCACAGAGACTTAAGTTTGAAGAAGAGCACTATTTTTTTAATTTTTCCTGGTGCGTGCTGTTTTTTTTTCCTTCGATCTAATTGAAATTTCCGACAAAATTTTCTCTTTTCACCGCACCACAATCATTGACAATGCATTCGTTATCTTCCTAGATAAAAGAGACAAAAAGACATTGTGCTTATATCTAATTAGTTGCAACAAGGACCCACAAAAGCACCATTAAGGAGAACTTTTTGCCTTCTTTTTTGGCATTCCATCACTAGTCCTCCTAAAACCCATTTTCTTCGTTCTGCATATTTTCTTTTGGACAAGAAGTTTGCTTTTTCCAGGATGGTTTTGCAAGTTCTTTGCTTGGCTTTCCTTGTATGCAACTCTCTCTCACTTGTCAGTTGTATAAATGAAGAAGGATTAGCTCTACTTTCGTTCAAGGAATCCTTAACAAAAAACGCCGAAAGCTCTCTGAGTACCTGGAACTCATCAGACCAAACCCCATGTTCATGGGTTGGAGTTACATGCAGAGAAGAAAAGGTTGTATCTCTCAGCATTCCAAACATACAGCTTTCTGGGATTTTCCCTCGTGCTCTTGGGAACCTCTCCGCCCTGCGCCATCTGAATCTTCGGGAGAACAAACTCTCCGGAAGCTTGCCGTCTGAGCTTTTCAATGCAAAAGAGCTCCAGAGCTTGGTGCTGTCCGGAAATTCATTATCTGGTTCTGTTCCAGCTGAGATAGGGAAGCTCAGTTACCTGCAAACACTAGATCTTTCGCAAAATTCATTCAATGGTTCGATACCTTCATCTATAGTTCAGTGCAAGAGACTAAAGATCCTTGTCCTTGCTCAAAACCATTTCTCTGGCTCCCTTCCACAAGGTATGGGAATCAGTTTTGTTCATCTTCAAAAGCTCAATATTTCCTTCAATATTCTCAGCAGTTCGATTCCTGAGGAAATGAGCAACTTGTCAAGTTTGAGATCAACCCTTGATATGTCTCATAACTTGTTCAACGGTTCTATTCCGCCATCCCTAGGAAGCTTGCCTGAGACAGTATACATTGATCTCAGTTACAACAATCTCAGTGGACCGATTCCACTGAATGGTGCTCTGATCAATATAGGACCAACGGCTTTCGTAGGCAATCGTTTACTCTGTGGACTGCCGTTGAAGATTTCATGCTCTTCAAACAGTCAAAGCTTAAATTCTCAAAATTCAGGTGGCAGCTCTGGTACGAATGGGAAACACAACAACTCAAGCAGAGGTATTTTTGTGATTACTGTTGCTGCAGGCGTCATCGCTGGAATTTTTATTGCTGGGTTTTTGTTCTCCAACTGGTACAAGAAGGTTTGTACCTGCAAAATACGTGAACGTTTTGCTGGCTGCAAATTTGAACAAAAATTAAAGGTCGGAAATGACCTATTCTGCTTCAAAAGACATGGCATGGATACCGTACCAGAGAATTTGGAGCATTACCATTTTGTGCAAGTGGATCTGCAGGTGAATTTAGATCTTGACAAACTGCTGAAATCATCTGCTTTTCTTCTGGGTAATAGTGGGATCGGGATTGTGTACAGAGTTGTTCTTGAAGACAGAAGAACTTTAGCAGTGAGAAGATTGGGAGATGGAGGTTCCCAAAGGTTCAAGGTATTCCAAAATCAAATTGAAGCAATAGGAAAGATGAGGCATCCAAATATTGTGAATCTTTTAGCATATTGCTGGTCTGTTGATGAGAAACTGCTTATCTATGATTATATCCCAAATGGTGACCTTGCTACTGCAATACATGGTAATTAGTTTTATAGTTTAACTTATAAAGTTTTTGCAGATTTACCCCGAACCTTGTACCTCAATGCGATTTTCCTCCTAAATTAGACCAATTCCCCTCTTCAACTACTACAAACGGCCAATTTCATCTGATATTCATCAGATGAAGTGTTTGTAGAAGTTCGAAGGGAGAAATTGGCAGTGGAATACAAGTTCAAGGCAGAAATTAGCGAACTACTCTTCAACTTATCATATGCTTTTTCTTCATCTTATTCTTAAGTGTTTTTTTTTTGACACACTAAAGAATCTGATATGACTTTACTAGGAAAACCTGGAGTGGTATCCTTCACACCTCTTTCTTGGCCTGCACGTCTGAAAATCATGAATGGCTTTGCAAAAGGATTGGCTTATATTCATGAATTTAGTCCCAGAAGATATGTGCATGGAAACTTGGGGCCTAGAAACATACTGCTTGGACAAAACATGGAACCCCATATCTCCGACTTTGGACTAGGCCGCCTTGCTAACTTAACTGAAGAGTCCTTGTCATCATCGTCATTTCAACTGGAACAAATAATGGCTGAAACACCACCTCAGAATTCTCCATATGTGCAAAGGACATCGAGCTCACTAGTGGCACCCGGACCTTGCTATAAAGCTCCTGAAGCATCAAAAGTAACCAAGCCATCACAGAAATGGGATGTTTACTCATTTGGGGTAGTTATACTGGAGATGATTTCTGCCAAGATGCCATTTATGAGAATTGGTTCTTTGGAAATGGATTTGATACAACAGTTTCAGCTCCACGTTGAGGAAAGGAAGCCACTCTGCGATCTGTTAGACCCGTTCCTAGCTCCTGATGTAGACATGAAAGAGGAGATTGTTGCAGTGCTGAAAATCGCTCTTGCTTGTGTTCATAAAAGCCCTGAAAAGAGACCTTCTATGAGGTTTGTGTGTGATAATTTGGCCAGGTTGGCCTAGTATTGTGGACTAGTTCAAGGTTAGAAACATAATATTTGTGGTTCTATGGGTTATTGTATATCATAATATCATATATTGCATTTATTCCCCATCTTCAGAAGCAAGTCACAACGACTAACTTATATTGCATCGATTGTCAAAGACTAACATAAGAACTTAGCAGACATGCCTAACTTATATGTGAATGCACACTCAAAGTAACTGGTAGGGCACAAAGAGAAGAACTAACCACGGTAAACGCCTTAAAGCAAAAACTGCATTACTGTTTCGTTTTCCTCAAACATACGTCCACCTGAATGGATGATTTTTTCCCACTTTGCTTTGGTTTCCTATATAGATTCTGGGTGTGAATGCATCTTAAATCTTAGTGGCTATCAACATATGAGATTAAAGTGGCAAGACAGAGAACAAACCAGAAAACGGTTCAAATGACAAGCATCAATTTGCAGCACCTCAAATCATATATAAGGAGGTATACTAACGACAATTGTATAATCATTAGAACACTATATCTAGGGCCAGATTCAGCAAACACTGAATTACAAGTAACAGAGGGAGAAGAATGTGATTCCAATGTGAAAGGGGAGTGACTTAATTCCTGATTGCTGATCATCACACTCTTGGACTCCTTTCTTACACCAAAGGGGCTCAGGAAGCCACACAAATGATGATTGCTGTCAGAGGCCAACTATCGGGGATTACCGAAAGGAGACCTTCAATTGACGGTCCTCATTTATGACATGTTTGAAGCTTTTAAAAGAAATGACATTAAAATGAACTGTATCAGGAAATTATTGATCAAAATCCCTACCCAAAGTTTACATCTCAGAAGTATTTTCCATTAGAGACTATACTTCAAAACAACAGTTGATTTATTCACAATACAGAACTGACAATACAAACACAAACGCAATAGATCGGTATTGAAAAGAGACCGACACATTCTTATAAATATGCAGATACCTTCAACAAATAACACAAAATTTACATTTCATACATGTGAGTGCAAAGTTAGTATATATTCAAATATGCTATCAACATACAACATAAAACACACAAAGAAAAACACGAACGAAGAAGAACAAGAAATTCTCTGTTCCTATAACATACAGATAACACATTCACATGCCAAAATGAGAGCCAAAAAAGAAAGGTGAAGTTACCATCAGTCATCTATCAAAATCATTTCTTTTAGTCTTTTCGAGAGTATAACTATTGTGGATCCAAGTTTCCGTTCTGGTGCTCATGGTTGTCTATATGCAACTGAGTCGACGTCTCTGATAAACGTACTGTTGTATCTTTGGTCATGCTTTGGTACATTGAACCGAGTGGAGGCTGAGATTTGTATATCTGGCCACGCACAAGATTGTTCTCAGGCGGATTACCGGGCTCAGGAGATTCCTGGAAGCAATAGCTGTAGGTTCGCGCTGCATTTCAGCAAGCCAATGATTGTTGCCGACCTTCGTTATATGGTATATGGATAAGTGGTGCCCCTACACAAAGTGTAATTTCTGAGTGGACGGGTCTGTGAACACCTGAGGTGAATTAAAATTTTGAAAAACAAGAAAAACAGAACTTCAACGGCCAAATTCCTCACCCGCTCAATCTAACACGGCTGTGGAAATTTCCAATTTCCCTCCAAATTGTTGCAAATCCTACTCCCCCTCCCCCAACCCTTCTACCTATCTATAAAATCCCCCACCTCTCCTTCTCTCAAATCCTCACAATCATTTTCCGGAGAAAAAAAAAACGGAGAAAACATGAAATAGCTGCAAGTTAACACTGATATGAAAGCGTTCATAAAAGCTGTGGACATGTTCAAGCCAATCAAGCCACAGTTTCTTCAAGCACTCAAAGGCGTCTTCCAGTGGCTTAATGTGGGTCGAAACCCTCTCAGATATGGAGGCTGCTCAAAATCTCAAGAAACGGTTTGATTGGACAGGCACCGCCGACGCCCATCATCTCAACAATGAGTTCGCGAAGGCAACGGAAGTTCGTATATACAAAGGATAACAAAAAGGTCAAGGCGAAGGCATGCTAGGACCCTTGGCAACCAATAAACAATTTTTTTTTTTAACAAATAATTACTTTAGTGTAATGCAACACTACATTTCCACATTTGGACGAGAGAAATAAACTTAGAATTTGAATAAAAGTTAGAATTTATAATTGAAATACACAAATTCCCTTATTTGGATTCATAAACATAGAAATTTAGAATTTCTACGTAGAAAAAAAATTTAGAATTTGGGACCTCAAATTCCCAAGTTTAAATTCCATGTAAATATGTGTCATTTCCTAATTTTTATGATTGAGAGTTTGAAAATAACAAATTTCGTATTTAATTCTATTATTCTTTTAAGTTAACCAAACAAAAAAATTCACAAATTCTAAAAAATAAAATATCGTCATTTCAATTCTCGCCATTTTAAAATTCTTTAGTAATTTTAAATTTTTTCGTTCAAACATAGTCTAAAGGAGAAACAGTGTTTTGGAATGTATTCCACTTTATTTATAATTCTGCCATTGGTTTAGAGACAGGTGGCTTCTATGTTTTGGCTCAGTCGACCCTGCTTTCCGCTTGCCAGGTTTCAATTGGGAAAGGAGGGGCTGCGATTGCGTTCGGTCGATGGGAGGGGGTGAGGTGGCTGTAGCGAGATAACGGAGGGGCTGCGTTTAGAGACCGAGTTAGAAATTTATTATGGGGAACAATCTAAAAAATAATTAAGAAAATCTTAATATAGTACAATTTATACACAATAGAATGATAAAAATGATTTCAAATAATGATGTATCATAATTTTAATGTTAAAAATTTCATTGTAGTAGTGGAAAGTGGCAAAGCGAGTAAAAAATATTAATATATGATAGGCGGAAAGGGTGGAGATGAGTTTTTTTTGTTTGAATGACAAAACATGAACACGTTTGCTCATATAATATTTGATATGGAGTATATGTAGTATAAAAGTATGTTGAATATTAGATACATATATTTTCTTCAAAAATAAGGCACGTGTATTATATAACTGTAGTCTGTAACTTAACAAACGAATTACTTGAATAAAGATAGTTGCTCCTAATGAGCCTGCATTGGCTCTGTCCATGGTTGCGCTTGCTTTGGCTCGATGGGGAGCGGATGAGCTAGCTGCAGCAACATGAGCTAGGGGAGGAGGAAATAGGAAAGAGTGGGGTAATGGGCACTGAGGGCCTCAAGTTGTTGCACAACATCGTATATCGTGTGTTTAATTTTCGTTAGGTACTATTTATATTTAATTTAAATTTTAAATAATTTATGATCGCACGATGTACGATAAACAGAAACGATCACGAATTCTTAAAAAAAGAATCGCGAGAGATCTTTTTACGAAAAACAAAGTTAATCTTGAGAAAGAAAAGTATTCCGGATCCCTTTCCGAAAAACAAAGTTAATCTTGAGAAAGAAAAGTATTTTATGTAATTTACTATATTGCCCATCATTTTTATTTAGTCGTTTCCTCCTGGTTTTGAGATGAACCGCCTTACAGTTTTTAGACAAATACGAAGTTTTCCACCGCCCATGCAACTCAATACCGCCACTGTCACTACGGCGTTCGCATTTCATCCCTCGAGAATAAATTCTGAAACCAGAAACAGTTGGTATTGTATCGTAGCTCTTGGTTAAGGTTCGTACAATGCCTTGGTGGGATCTTGGATTGCTTTCTCGTCTCAAAAACTTGAGTGGCGTCGTCTTTCAGGTCAGTCTCTTTCTTTTCTTTCTGCGTGTTTTACTTGATGTAAGATTGTAATCCGATGCATATTTCGGAAGCATATGGGTAATTACCATGGGGTTTTTGGCCCTTTTTGTTGCAATTCATTGTGGTTTTTGATGATTTCTTGTTTTGGCTCAAGTTACTGTGTGATACTGATCCAACACCACAAAACCCATTTCTTTTTTATATTTTATATAATTATATGCATATGTATGTATTTATATGCGGTGATGGGTTTGTGCCATCTTTGTATTATATAACTGTTACTAGATGCAAGCAAAAAAGTTGTTTTTGGGACCTCATCAATTGTGCAGACAGATGTAAATATCATGCCCTGGCACAGACATAGGGTTCATACGTCTAAATGTTCAAACACAAGGGCATGCCACTATATTTGTGTACTTTTTGAAATTATGAAATCTGTATGGCTGGTATAAAGCCATAGCATAGTTGTTATATAAACTTCTTCCTTAACAAACCTGTTGTAACCAAAGAAAATTAAGTAAATACTTCTCTGTTTGAGTACGTAATAATAGCAGTGTGTTATTTTCTTGAGAAAATGTGCAGTATGATAATTCTGCACTTTTTCTGGATGAATAAAGTTGATGTCTTTGTGACGTTTCGCGATCTAAGGTGTCCAATACAGGAAATGTCCTTCTAATAGGCTAGTACTTTTCTTGTCACTCATGGAAAGTTGAACCAAACAATAGTCAGACATTAATTTGTATCCAACGGTCAAGAGAATTTTCCTTCCCATGTGTGGTATTGGTTCTTGATCTAATAATTTCTTAAGCTTATTGGATGTAAAAGCAGCAATAGCAGTCCATACTATTTAACGAGGCAAGCATGCAGTTCTGTCTCTGGATTCTGACAGATCTATCCGGTAGTCGTTGCTTACATAGAGATTGCTTGCTGCGATTGTGGGTCAAAATTGCATTTTGTTCAAGAATTTACCAGCTTATGCAACAGAGCTCATTCCCTGGTTATTGATAACGTTTTGGTCATTTCCCATGGTTGTTTTTCCTAATTACCATTCGCCTTCATTGCACGCAGAGCTCACCTTCTTGATTCGTCTTCTCTTCTGTATCTGTTTCAGTGTCATTTTCTTTTGTTTTTTGGGGGTGCTGTAATTACTTTCTTTTACTTGCCTTTTATTGTAGCTTATTACAATTTTTTTCTTGCAATGCTATTATCTTATGAAAACATGTCTATAATGTACATATCTAGTACCACTATTACTATATTGGTTGTGTATGTTCGGTTACTGATAAAAGTATTTGGTAGTTCTGTAATATAACAACTGATAAAAAGCATTTTCTTTGGAATCTTCTCTCTTTTTTCGTGGCCATCGAAGTCTTTTAGTTATGCTGACGCACTGTAATGAGTACACATCTGATTTCTATTTTCATTAGCAGAACAAAATACAGGAAGTTCAGCATAGTTCGCATACTGTAAGGTCCCATGGAGTGACAGTTGCAAGGACACACATGCATGATTGGGTGATACTGATGCTTCTTGGGTTGATAGAGGTCATCCTTTATGTGATTCATCCATTTTATCGCTTCGTAGGAAAAGATATGATGACTGATCTGAAATATCCCTTGAAAAGTGTCACAGTACCTTTTTGGGCTGTCCCTGTAAGTTGTTACTGTTCTGTTCTATTCTAATGAGACCTTGTTTACAAGTACATTACTTGAATTCTGAATTGATGTGATTTGTGATGCCTGCCCCCCTTGTCCCCTCTTTGGATGCTTAGATGTATGCAGTTGCACTGCCCATAGCAATTTTTGTTGTTGTCTATTTCCGCAGGAGAGATGTCTATGACCTTCACCATGCCATACTAGGTGATCAGTTTTCCGACTTTTGATTTTACAAAGAATGTTCAAATATCTTACCACATTTACTGAGGAAATACAATAGAATGACAGGACCTGACGGTTAAAATTTGCTAATGCAGGTCTATTGTTCTCTGTTCTGATAACAGGGGTTCTTACAGATGCTATAAAAGATGCAGTTGGTCGACCCCGACCAGACTTCTTTTGGCGCTGTTTTCCAGATGGGAAGGATGTACGGCATTCTAGATTCATAGTTATTGAGATTGTAATTGGAGGGCAGGGTTCTTTTAGCTTATTCATACATGATGCCATTGGTAGTCAACGTTAATAACTAGTTTTTTCCTCAGGTGTATGATAAATGGGGAAATGTTGTATGCCATGGTGTGAAGAGTGTTATAAAGGAGGGGCACAAGAGTTTTCCAAGTGGCCATACTTCATGTAAGTAGCACCGTAGTGTCTGGTATTCACTGAATATGGTTTACTTGCAAACAACTTGGTTGATCATGTCATACAAGCACTATATTTACCTGAATCTCTTGTAGACTTGTTAACATCGAGGAAATTTGTATTCAATATGCAGGGTCCTTTGCTGGTCTTGGATTTCTCTCACTGTATTTGTCAGGAAAAATACAAGTATTTGATCGCAAAGGCCATGCTGCAAAACTTTGCATTGTTATTCTTCCACTACTTGTTGCATCACTTGTCGGAGTTTCTCTAGTAGATGACTACTGGCACCACTGGCAAGACGTGTTTGCTGGAGGTCTCCTAGGTTTGTGCCGTAATGAATGGTAGCTAAAATACTTGTTGACCTTATTTGTCAATAACAATCAGGGAATCATTTTTTGCAGGCCTTACGGTTGCCACCTTTTGCTATTTGAAGTTCTTTCCACCCCCATACCATGCCCAAGGTATGCTACCAAGAAAATTCGATATGGGGCATTTTTGTTATGGGGAAACATTTTCGTAGTCATATTTGTGGTGCTTATCAATGGCAATGCTCCTTTCTTGGTCTCTTCAGTGTTATCGATGACTCATGAAATATTTTGCACATAATTTAGCTCTATTGCATTTGTTTTGATGTGTGCGCGCTTGTGCGCGTGCAGGTCTGCCAAAGAATACAACTGAACACAAACTAAAAGTGTATAATTTGGAATCAACAATCCAATTTTTACAACATAATTTTTTAATTTGGCTCGATGTTTTAAGAGAATTTCCATCCTTATCTACGAAATTAACATAGATCTTGATTCACTAAATAAGTGTTTCGATCTTCCTTGGTTGGACATGCCTGTCTGCTAATTAACAAGGGCCTTTGTTCGATCAAATTGTTTTAGTAATGTTTCAAGGTGCGTTTTTATGCTCATCTGATTTTCAATACATCCATTTGTAGGTTGGGGCCCTTATGCTTACTTCCAAGTGTTGGAGGAGATGCGTTCGGGGGCACAAGTAACCAGCACAATAAATGGGAGCAACGTGCAGGTCACAGAGGCTCGGGTTGAGAATCAAGTAGACGAAACAAGTAACCATGGATGTATGGGGTTAACATTAGCACGTGGTTCTGGTTCAGCATTGGAAGATTTAGAATCTGGGAGGAAATAGTTTTGTGCATTTGTTTAGAGCTCGTGATGGATCCTGCCGATGTACCTATATGTAGAGAAATGCCACAGCTTAAACCGATAGGAACAGTACCTTCGCTTCCAAGTTTGTTTATACAGAATCGTGTGGTTTCTGCTTATATTGTATGTGCCCCAGCCGACAGGCACGATCAGTGGATTAAATGTTTATCGTTTAGCAGAGGTTGTCCATCTGAAATGGCTTCAAAATCAATGAAGTTTCGTTTACGGTTGATATGTATCTTTTACTAGAAAAAAAAAAGTATTTGACGACATTTGATTTTAATTTATCGATGAAAAATTGGGAGGAAAAACACGGGGTAAACTCTATTTAAATTGGACTACGGCATTTCTCTATGCATGCACAGCACAGTATAATTTTTAAATTCTGCGTGATATTTGGGATGTAGAGGTTTGTTTCTAAGTAAATATGTCGACTGGTGACCGCTATTGCAATATTGGATTATCGGACATATTGATCAAATATTGACGGCATGCTAAAAATGGTCATGTCGGGATTTGAAAAAAAAGTTTATATTTTGGCCAATTTTGCTTCTCTGAAAATATGGCTCTAAAAGAGATTGTGTTGATGTATACGCCAAGCTATCAAGTCCTCAATCAGTCTTTGGCCAACACAGAATAGAGCAATTTGCCAAGATGCAGTCACGGCTCATTTGCAATTCTGTCTAACCAACCTTTTCGATTTCACACAAAAAGACTATCTTCTAGCTACATCCAACATACATGACGTCATCTCAAGTGCGCTCTAGAAGAAACTTAAATGGCACACAGACCACTATGGTGGTATCACGTGTCAATGAAATAGAGGCATTTAAATTTTTGTTCATATGTCATCGTTTAATTAGCACGGAAGACACCACATGATGATGTACTCGTATTAGATAAGTTGTTCACATATCTTTATTGCATAGCACGGAACGTTGCCTAACAATATGCTCGTAATATGTAAGTTGTTCTCGTGCTCTAGGCATGGTTTAATACCATAAAAAAAATAAAAAAAATAAAAAAAAACATTTACAATAGGATAATTTACTTGCAACAAAACTGCACTGCCACCGCAATGAGTCAATCACAAATATGTATGAACTCACCACATGTACAAACTTTAAATCATCGCATTCGTGTGAGTCAAACTTAAATCATTTCCAACCAAACCAAATGGAGATAACGATCAAATCAAATGCAATGGAATATAACAAGTATTTGGTCAAATGGTTGCGTAATTACATGCAGAAATGAAATCTGTTTGCAGCAATTTAAACAAAATCTAAAAATCCGACAAATGGAATTGAAATAATGGCTAATTGATTCATTTTCTTTTCAAACAAAAACTAATGGAGATAAGCATGTGCTATAATATATATATATATATATATATATATATATATAGCATGTAAAATTTGTTTTCTGTTTACCTTAACAAGAAAAATCATGAATTAATTATGATTGAATTTATAAAGGTGGTTCGTGCACCCCCAAATAATCTGGCGTATTCTACGCTGTATAACTTTTTAATATAATTATTAATCAAATTTAAACTATATTTAAAGTATAAATATGGTCATTTGGTGTACAAATTTAATGAACAAACTTGAACGCCTTGTAATTGTGTAGGCTTTTGTTGGTACAAGAGTTCAACCACTGCAACTAGTTGCTTCCCAAGGCCACTCTTTTAATTGAGGCAATTGGTAAAAGATATACTGTTTCTACAATCCGACCTGACAATATAAAGAGTAATGCTAGGGAGATCAAAATTTTAAACCAAATTTACAAACCAAATGATCGGTCATTAATAGGAAATAAACACGTTAATCAACAGAGTTTAGTTAGTTAATCAACACTTAAGTGATAATCTAATTATTAACAACCACATCATTTGATTTATAATAACCATATGTACATGTCATTAATCCATGTGGCATTGTATAATTGGTTAAGTAGTTAAGGTTATTAAAAGGATTGAGTTAGTTAGAGTAATGTTGTTATAAAGGGTAATTGAGTAATTTGCACTGAAGATTAGTTACTACAAAAGGTTGTTGTAAGATTCATTCACTGCATATTGTAATATTTGCTCTATTGAAATACACTGAGCTTTCTCTCCATCTTTCTTGTTGTTCAACCTTTCTACTTCCATTATTCTTTCTATTCCTTCATAACTTCATAGGTTAATATGGTATCATCGCCGGAAAAGGCTCATCGCTGTTTCTGATCCTAGGTGTTCTTTTGTTGCTTTGGTGCTGGTTCTCGACAGTCTAGTGTTTCTTGGACGATTTGGCTATTGAAGCGTCATGTTGAGTTTGTTGGATTTCTACTGGTACATTGATTCATATCATGTGATATCTCTTGCGATTTTGATATGGATTTCTCTATGAATTTGTAGAATGCTGAATTGATATTCGCAAAATGGTTGATTTGGGATTTTGTCATGTTTCTCTTAATTTGGGATTCTGTTATGTTTCTCATAATTTGGTGATTGAAGTCTGAGATGTATGATGAAATAATTGGTTACAGTGATCTTTGAATTGTTGTTTGGATATAAAAGTTTCAAGAAAGTGTCAATCTTTCAAGATTTGGTTGCAAGGAAGTGTCAATCTTTCTTGTTCTGTCTGGAGTGTTAATCTTTATAGTTTCTTAATCTATAATTGTCAAAGTGTCAATCTATCTATCATGACTACATCATCTTTCAAAGTTGAAGGTGTTATGCTTACCATAAAGCTAAGGGATGATAATTTCGCCAAATGGACTTTTCAGTTTTAGTCTATGCTAAGAGGGTATACACTGTTTGGACACTTTGATGGTACAACTGCTTGGCCACCAAAGTATGTAATAAGTTCGGATACTAAGGTTACCAAAGAAATTACAGTATCATATATTGAATGGGAAACAACTGATATGGCCTTATTAAGTCATTACTTGCCACTTTAACTGATGAGGCAATGAAGTATGTTGCACATGATGCATGAACTATTCTTGTAGATCGATATGCCTCAATTTCAAAGTCTAGGATTAACCATTTGAAAATTGAACTGCACACTATTCATAAAGGGTCAAATACAATAGATACACATAAAGGGACAACTTAGTGCTGCAGGAGAATCTGTTTCAGATAATGATATCATGATTGTTGGTCTTGCTGGGTTGCCTAAGGAGTATGTTGTGATTAGTACTGTTATATTGGTTAGGGAATCTATACTCACATTGAAAGAATTTAGAGCATTATTACTTAGTGCTGAGAGAGAAATTGAAGGAGAAATGAATGCAATTACTCAGAATTTGTCAGCATTGTATGTTGTCCAGTTCAAGTTCAAGTTCTGGTTCTAAGTCTTTAGCATCAACTTCAAATCCTCATAGCCATGATCATATTCTTGCTATAACTGATGGTACTATCATTATTGTGCCTTATGATTCATCACCACCACCTCCTCAATTTCAACAACCATACTATCCACCATCTCAATCTCTAAGTGAATCATATGGTTATGGTTTTTCTGCCAACTCTAATGGTCAAAATGCACCTAGATCACAGTCTTCAAATGGTCAGTTTGCTTCTAAAAGGAACAACTACAGAGGTGGAAACAACTATAGAAATAACAATGGCTTTAGAGGCATGGGTTATAATTCTGGGAATTTAACCAATTATTACTGAGGTGGTTCAAGACAAGCCAGTAATAGGAATGGTACTTGGTTTGGAAATGTTGATACTAGAACTATAGTGGTAATTGAATGTCAGATATGCAACAAAAGGGGACACATTGCAGTTAATAGTTTTCACAGGAACACAAATGCACCAACCATTAGGTATTTAGTTGAATGTCAAATCTGTGGGAAGAGAGGTCACTCTGCATTGGATTGCTTATCAAAGAGGAAATTATGCATATCAAGGTTAGCTTCCACCATCATCATTGTCAACAATGAATGCACAACAGACTACACAAGTTCTTCCTCAAGATGCCTGGATTGTAGATTTTGGTGCTTCACATCACTTAACTTCTGATATCAATGCCTTAAATCAAATAACACCTTTTGAGGGATCTAAGAAGTTAACAATTGGGAATGGTACAGGTCTACCAATTAAAAACATTAGTTCTACTAAGCTTCAGATTCCTATACTATTTGATTCTTAATAAAGTTCTGCATGTACCTAATGTTGCTAGAAGTTTACTCTTTGTGAAACAAGTGTGTGTTAACAACAAAAGTTGGTTTATATATGATGAATTTGAATTTTTTGTGTAGGACAAGAAGACAAGGGAGATAGCGTACCAAGGAAAGAGTAGGCCTAAGGAATTGTTCCAAATCCATGTGGTTACAAATTCAATAGGTTCACAGCTCATTACAAAGTATCCAGTAGCATATTTGGATAAAATAGTGAGGTATAATGTCTGGCATCGAAGGCTAGGACATCCAACTCATGAAATAATGGCTTCAATGTTGAAACAGTCTAATATTTCAGTTCACACATATGATATACATAGTGTTTGTATTTGTTGCATTCAAGGCATGATGTCTAGGACTCCATTCAAGGCAAGAGTTATGTTGGATATCTTGCTTCATTACCTCAGTTCTTTTCTTGCTTCATTACCTTCAATCCAGTGGTGAGACATACTATTATTAGAATCATTCTAGCTTTGGCTACTAAATTCAATTGGCAATTAAGACAAATTGATATCAAGAATGCTTTCCTCTATGGAGACATGTTAGAAGAGATTTACATGAAACAACCACAAGGTTTTGTGGATGCTACAAGTCCTGATCATGTTTGCAGATTGGTTAAATCACTTTATGGATTGAAACAGGCTCCTCGAGCCTGGAACTCTAAATTTACAAGTTACCTTCCAGCTATTGGCTTTCAATCATCTCTTTTGTATACAAGTTTATTTGTCAAAGTAGATGATGGAGATATAATCCTTCTCTTGCTCTATGTTGGTGATATAATTTTTATTGGTTCAAACTCGGTGAAAATACAAAATGTCATTGACGATCTTGCAGGTGTGTTTGATCTCAAGGATATGGATAAGCTAACATATTTCTTGGGGTTACATATTCAGTATAAAGAAGATGGGTCTTTGTTTATAGGTTAGACTAAATATGCCAAGGATTTATTGCGAAAAACAGGTATGAACAGTTGTAAATTGACATCAACGCCATCTAAGCCTCATACTCATATTCTTAAAGGAGAAGGAACCTTATTATCTAATCTAAGTCACTATAGAAGCATAGTTGGGGCTCTCTAATATCTAAGCTTTACTAGGCCAGATATTGCCCATTCTATGAACATGGTTTGTTAATTCATGACACAACCAACTGATATACATATGTTTTTAGTCAAGAGAATATTGAGATATATACAAGGCACTATTGGGTATGGTTTACAGTATACAAAGAGGAAGGATTTTAATCTCACTGCTTATTTAGACTCGGATTAGGCAGTAGACATTGATACCAGAAGATCAATCACATGGTTTGTTGTTTATTTGGGAGCAAATACAATCTCATGACAGTCAAAGAAACAATCTATTGTACCAAGAAGTTCAACAAAGGCTGAATACAAAGCCTTAGCTCATTGTGCAGCTGGTATTTTGGATTTGTTCAGTGTTCAAGGACATTCATCAACCTCTATCAATACCACCCTTTCTATATTGTGACAACTTGTCAGCTTCAGTATTGAGTTCAAATCCTATTTTTCACTCCAAAATAACATCTAGATACTAACTACCGTTTTGTATGTGAAAAGGTCCAAAAAGGAGATCTTACGGTTCACTATATCCCTACTGATGATTAAGTGGCAGATGAGTTTACAAAAGGATTGCATAGTCTAGTTTTTCTCAAGCATTGCAGAGGTCTTGGATTGGGATCTAATTTTGCATTAACAATGAACTCAGCTTCAGTAGCTCAGCTTCGTTTGAAAGGGGGGGGGGGCGGAGTAATAACCATATGTACATGCACTACTACAATATAGGCTATCACCGGCGGACCAAAAACCGATAAGAAATTCGATTTCTGTCCGAAATTTGGCAAAAATCCAACATAAAACAATGTAATGTTGGATTGGAATAGCGACACTATTGCTAGCGTCACTAAAGGGCTTTAGTGTTGGTTTGTTCGTTTAATCCACCACTAAGTAGCGTCTGTTAAAAGCGACATTGATGTTGATGTTGATTTAAAGCGACGTATACTTCAACATTACGTCGGTTTAAAACGACGTCAGACAACAATTAAATAAATAAAATATGCAAACTAGTGACGGTCTTAACCGACACCATCTTTGTGAATAATAATAAAAATATTTCAAAATTTGTCTTTTACATTCATTTTCAATGAATTGCCAATCAACATCATTTCCATGAAGTACCGCACTGGCGACTTGTCCATGAAAATACATCTGAGAGAAGAAGCCAAAATAAATATCAAAATTTGAAGAATTTGTACACAGAAATTGCACGAGGGAAAAGGAAAGGGATTCACAATTTAGATCTTCGGCTATGAGTCGCTTCTAATCCAATGACTTGACCGTCTGCAATTTCGGGATAGTGTTCCCATTGGGCTCGCTCCTTTGCTTATTCGCTGAACCACCCTCCGCCACACTTTCCTTCTTGACCTCACCTTCAATACGAGACGACGTCATTTCCATCTCTTCCACGACTCCCCCGGCGCTCCTAATGACATTCATCTGCCTCAACTCGGCGGCCCCGCGCAAATTCTGAAACTCGGGATCAACGACCTCCGTCGTGACAGGCAAGAGCACAGTCTAGGCTCTTTTGAATTTGAAATGGCGATTGCTGTTGCTGCTGTTGTGGCTGCGAAGAAGGAGCTACTTTGCTGAAGGGGGTGTGTTCTCTTCCTTTATATTTAGAATTTTGTGAGGGAGTCTACTGGAGTGGTGTGAAAATTTCAAATTTCAAAATGTTTGAAATTTTGCAAAAGTTTAGTGACCTGCCTTTTTAAAAAATTTTAACTTAACACTGGGTTTTAAAATATTTAAAAATATTATTAGTGTCGGCTACAACCGATACCGGGTATCAAAATATTTAAAAAAACTAAAATCTATGTTGCTCAGAACCAACGCATGCTTTAAAATATTTAAAAACAATAATTATTATCGGCTAGAAGTGATACCCATACGTTATGTCGCTTAAAAGCGACACTGTTTTATTTAAAGCGACACCCGTATTTAAAAATTATTAAAATGTATGTCGGTTATAAGCGACATTAAATGTTTACGTTGGTTAAAAACGACATAGACAGTTTATGACGTTTGCATGCGACAGTAAATCCGATGTCATGTTCAGTAGGTGTTGCAAATGTTTTATCCGCCACTATATAATATTAAATTGACATCACCCACTGACACTATAAGGCCCTTTTGTAGTAGTGATGTCATTAATCCATGTGGCATTGTATTACTGGTTAAGTAGTTATGGTTGTTAAAAGGATTGAGTTTGTTAGAGTAATGTTATTGGAAAGGATAATTGTGTCATTTGCATTGAAGATTAGTTACTACAAAAGGTTGATGTAAGATTCATTCACTGCATATTGTAATATTTGCTTATCGAAATACACTGAGCTTTCTCTCCTTCTTTCTTGCTGTTCAACCTTTCTGCTTCCATTGTTCTTTCTATTCCTTCGCAACTTCATAGGTTAATAGTTTGCAAATTTAGTTTAAAAAATTTGGTAGCCTTCTATCTTTAAAGCCGCATAGTTTCTATAGTTTCTATATGAACACTAAAATTAATTAGTTGTTTAACCAAGGAAGCCACTTATACAAATACAACCATATTTTATTTAATGGTCACAAATAACAAACTTATAAGGGTGTATATATGTTAGTCAACAATTGAAAAGTATAATTTGACTCTCTTAAGGTCTTTAGCAATAAGAGTGATTCAATATTTTTGTAGTGAAAGTTTAGTCTTCATAAGTGTTATTTTTTTTGTTAATTGGATGTCATGGATAAAAAATTGTATCGTATTCTTATTAAATTTGTAAATGTAAAGTTGTGTTTTTTTTTGCTTGTGTGAGTTGTGTGACCATTTCATTACATTTAGCAATGCCCGCCGTATGTACATTCTTGATCGTTGTTAATAAAGTTTCATTTTATCTGAAAGAAACACTAAAACTTTTAGCTATTTTATTTTATCAGATGTATAATGACAATAATAACACATCCTTTTCTGGAGGATTATTTTATTTTAGTACCCGGTACTAGAACTAGCATATCACAGAAACCTTAACGATCTGAAAGAATTGACCCAAAAGTATTGATTGAGTTCACACAGAAAGATAAAGTAACTAATTAAACAGTAATAGTCGTTAAACCATCTTGCTATTCATGACCAGAGATAATGGTTGACATCCTGGTACTGATCATCTTTGGCTTGAGAAGCACGCAATTGAACCGGATGAGATGAAATACTTGCTGGCATTACTGGATACTGCATGTAGGGCACAGCCGGCTGCATTAGTCGAGCATAGTACTGCTGGCTCATGTATGACGATCTTGGAGGATTAAGATTATTATTCACCATCAACATATTCATATTCGTATTCTCCACTGTAGAATGAATCATCATTGGATCACTGAAATTGCCTTGATTCCCCGCCACTGGAAATTGAGAATTACTGCCGCTGGCACCTGCGCTGAATTGAAGACTATAGTTGCTCTCCCTCAACATCCACATTGCCGTTGGACCCGGATTTGGAGCCAAAAGATTGCTCAAGTATTCATTTGAATTATCAAATTGAAGCATTTGATCACAAGGCTGATGTGGAAACTGCTGCAGCATATGATCTACCATGTTGTTACTGAAAGAGCTCATATGGTTTTGGTCCTCCTCATAGTTACAAGGATGCTTTCGGCTTGATGATTCACCAACATCAGGTTTTCCACCCATCAATAGTGTTGGTGCTTCTTTCTTCATGACAAGTATTTGATGCCCGGCAGCTTCTTTCTTTCTATTGAGTAATATTCTCTTGCCAGACTCGAGCTTCGCATCCAACGCATTAAGAAGTGCCTCCAGTTGACTTTCTGAAAAAGTGTTGATGCGTTCATCCCATGCTGGGTACTTGGTCTCATACATCTCCTTACGCTTTCTGTATATATCAGCATATACCTTGTTCTTTCTGTCCATCAATAGATCAGACAAATCGAAGGCTTTCTTGGCCGGTTTGCACATTGTGCTTGCCTTGTATTTGTTGATTATCCGACTTACCTCTTCCGGATTTTTAGGCCAAGTCTGGAGCTCTGGAGGCCGATCAGTCAGTTTTGGTCCGTAGATGATCATGCACACATCTACTTCGCAAAGAGTTGAAAACTCATAAGCCTTCTTCATTATTCCCTTCCTTCTCTTTTGAAATGTTGTTTTCCGAGACCTCTCGTTTGCAATTAGTTCCATGTTTAGCCTTCCGCGGCCCATATTCATCTGCTGTAAGAATAAAAAAAGAAATAACTGTGTTTAATCTTTGGGAGACTATGGGATCGGTTCAAAGAGTTGTATATGATCATAAACAGTAATTTTTGTTTTGGTTGTTTACTTTTGTGCTGTGCAATAAGAATAACTAGATTCTCCACCTTCAAAACTAAACACCAAAAGAGAAGAACAAATGATTTCACGTGTATGAACATATATATATATATATATGACATATGCTAAACGAAACCGAAAAAATAATAAATAAATAAACTTAAAGGTAAATACAGCATCTAGGAGACACTTCAAATGATTTTACCAGTACTGCCATGAATATCAAAAGCTTTTGAGGGGATTTAACTTAAATGCACAACCATAAAGCCATATGCAGTGAAACAGCTAGGGAAACTGCTATGAATGCGTACAATTACGTAAAGAGAAGAGCATAGATAATTAGAAAAGTAATCAACAGCGTACCTTCTCCAAGAAAATGTTCCGTTTAGAAAATGGCTGGCTTCTTAAAACCCTCCTTTTGAGTTGGCTTGACCTAATAATAATATAGCACAGGTAATCGCTTGCCGTTTACTCAAGAATCTAATCATTAATTATAAACTCAATCATAATTTCTGATTTTTTTGGTCAAGGTAAATAAAATATAAATATTACAAGCCATAAATAGATCTTGATCCCATCAAATCAATTAGCTCTTATTCAAATTTCATTTGTCTTCCTTAATTCTTTCGTGTTTCAATTCTAATTTTACGTATTGTTAAAAAAAAAAAAAAAAAATCGAATTTTACGTACAATGATTATTTAGCCAGCACCATTAGACTTTTGTCTTTGAGTCCGTGGAGATTTTCTTACGTGTTTATTGGATACGTGTCTTATTAAAATAATTTTATTTTTTTTTGAGGCAATTTATAATAATTTTATAGAAAATACTTAAAAAAGCTTCAATAAACATATTTTGACATTTGGTTTGTAGAAGTGATTATTTTTCAGTAATGATTAATCATATATTGATGACTAATCTCTACTAATTAATGAAACCCTTTTTATCAGCCAAAATAGGGTGAAAAGACAAATTAGTCTTCTATCACACAAAAAAAATGATGGGCAATAATGTAATTTCACAGGTCTAAATTTTACTATTTTTTATTGAAGCTTCACCTATATGTGATGTTAAAATACCTCCAATATTAAAATTAAAAAATTAAAAAAAAACCTCTCACTCCCCCACGTTCTCTCTCTCCCTTTCTCCTTCTCATTTTCTAAAAAAATATGTTCATTCACACAAAATGTGAAGGCAAATGCTAGTAATTATAATGATAACGTAATAAACATTCATTAGTTCTCAAAATATGTTTATTGTAGTTAATCAATCTAGTTTTATTAGTAAACCGTGCTGAGTGAGAAGTCTACATTGGCAGTTTTCGTTGTTTCACTTTTGACGAAATTGTAAGCTACTTTTTGGACAGTACGATTATATTTTATTTTCTAAATTTTGTTTTGCTGGAGTATAACGATATTTTTATATTAATAGTTAAGAAATAAGTTGGTATCAAACTTGCTATCCACGGTACTTTTCATTTAAGATCCACCTTTTGAAGTCCTGTGAGGGATAAATATTATTACTGTCAAATTAATCTAGCGGTTGAAGCTTCTAATAATTTATTTGAATAAATTCACTTCACCCGATTAAGAACAATAACCCGATGAGTTCTATTTCACGGCAAAACTCTAGCCAAACTCCTCATCTTTTTAATGTAAAATCCACCCTGCTAACATATTTTAGATATATAGATCATCTTCGGCAGAAGAAAACAAAATTATAATTTTAGTGGTTTCTTCCTTCGAGGGATCGAGATGATTAAGCCATGAAGCCCTAAAACTAGGGTTTAAAACCCCATATTCTGAAACTCTGATTGAATGGTTCAATCACTCCAAGGTGGCTCCAATGAATCCAATCTGATTTTGGACGGATATTGATCAAATAAATAAAGCCGTGGCTTCATTTCTCAGTAGTCCACGATTTGTGCTCAACATTCAACACCCATTTACTTTATCTAGCTATTTCCGTCATGAAGCTTTAAGATATGGTTATGGCTGCTCATCAACACCCCGCCACCCTCACCTCCACCAAATCTTCTGCCTCGTCTGACCAATGAAATAAGATGGGAGTCATCGGATTACTTTGTTTGTTTTATGTGGGCGAATTGTTTGTTTGTTTGTTTTCAATCGGATGTAACGCATTAAAATGAGTTATTAAGAGTTTCAACCGTTGGATTAATTTGGCGGTTGCAATAAGTTTGTCCCTCACATGACCTCAAAAAGCGGACCTTAGGCAAGCATCAATGCCCCTTTCATGATATTCGAACCGAATACTTCTTATTTACAAGGGTAGAGAAATACAACTAGATCGTAATAATAAGTGATTTTTGTTATAAAGTTTAATGTCTCTAGTTTAGTCCATATGTGTTTGCTCACTCCTCTAAATCCTGAAGATGCATCATCTTGCGGTCCAGATACACATGGAAAAATTTATCTTGGTATGGCGCTACCCTCTTTTAGAACCGTACCATGTGTCTAAAGGGTTTTTTTTTTTGGACAAACGATAGTGTTATGGGGAGGAATCATTGAGAATCAAACTCACACCATGGTGTATAGGCACAATTGCTATCCATCATGGTAGTAAAGTGTCATCTGCCATGTGTCTAAAAGTTTTACCATAGCTAGTTTATGCATTTAAATAATCTTTTTTGAAAAAAAAATAGTTAAATTAATAAAATAAATAACTTACCATTTACTCTTTATTTGATATGCCCTCATTGAGTAATTGATTGTAATCTTTAATACTTCATTCTCCTCCTACGTAAACCTTATAATCTCCCTTGGCTGTTTTTTATATGGCGGTGTTGTAACCATTCCTTGGCTGTGCGGATCAACCTCCTTAAACTCCGAATGCAAGTGGATAGTAATTGTGTGATGTGTGGAGCAACAGAGGAGACGGAGCATCACTTGTTTTTCCAATGTGCGTTTAGTCATGTGCTATGGTACTGTTGCTCTTTGTAGCTGGACATGGCATCAATGGCAGGTAGGGATTTCCGTGAGTATTGGCAGGGACTATGAGGTTGTTTACGCGACAATGAAAGATGAGGAGTTGATGCAGGAGTGTGTGTTTGTTAAGTGGAGAATATGGAAGAGCCGGAATGAAATGGTCTTTAAAGGAGTGCTGGTTAATCCCATGGAGATGGTGAATTTAGTGCAGCGACACCTCCTGGAGTTTCGTGTTGGGCAATGCAGGAAGAGGAGAGATGGTGGCTGCGATGAGGAGGGGATTGAATCAAGCTTCGCGGGTCAACGGCTTCGATGGAAGAGGCCACCTTTTGGTGTGATGACGATTAATTGTGACGGGGCTTGGTGTGGGAAGACTTGCAAAGGTGGTTATGGGTGGGTTTTAAGGGATTTTACTGGTTTGTTGCAGGCGTCTGGTGGGGAAGGAGGTGGGGTTTTCAACTCGGTAGCAATGGCTGAAGCTGCTGCGATCCGAGCAGCTTTGAGGGTTTGTATCGAGTTGGGTTGTGCGGAAGTGGAGCTTGAATCGGATTCTCAGGTGCTTATTTGAATGCTTATGGGAGAATACGTGATTGATGCTACTTTGGAATGCTTTATTCATGATATTGGTCTTTTGGTATCTCAATTAGGAAGGGTGAGGTTTGGGTTTGTTAAGCGGAGTGGAAATGCCACTGATCATGTTGTCGCCTCATATGTAACCTCACATGGAGGTATTTTCCATTGGGATGCAATTAGTCCAGAGTTTTTATTTAATATTCTTGCTCAAGATGTAAACGTTTCAATTAGAATCTAATAAAGTTTACCTTTGACAAAAAAAAAAAAAAAAAAAAAAAATTCTCTTTAATCTCCCTCATTAATCAGACCTCCTGCACAATAGGTCCACAGAACAACAAAAACAGGAAGTGCACTATAGCAACTAAAGAATTGAATTGCACAATTTGATTAAACCTCCTGCAGAATCTGATTTAATATGGTATCCCTAATTGTACAAAAAAAAATTGTCCATGAGGAGAGATTAAAAGGTTTACTATCAACTAGTAATATATTTATATTTACTAAAGATCTTAAATTCGACTTCCCCTTCCTTAAAGTTAAATATTGTTGTATATTAAAAACAAAAGTTACCATGGTGTGGGAGATGCTCCTTCGAATCTGCCATCAACTTTTTATTTATTTATTTCTATGGTGCAGAGGTGCGCTGCAGTTGCTAGGGTGGGTGTAGTTCATTTTTTTCGTTTGCCAAAGAGCAGCAGAATGGGGTGTTAATCGCTGTAATCCATTACTTAGTGAAAGGATATTAAAGTATAATTAATGGTAAAGTTTATTATTTTACTAATTTAATTTTGTTGTAGTCTATTTTAACTGACAAAAGAGATAAAGCTGGCGGCAAGGGAAGAGAGAGAGGAGAGATGTTCTTGTAAAAAGGGAGAAGAAATCATTCATCCCCCTACGTAGTGCCTTTATTTATAGTAGTAAAAAAAGGATACGAAATCCTTCATTCCCCTTACGTAGTGCCTTTATTTATAGTAGTAAAAAAAAGATATGAAATCCTTTATCCCCAAGAAATACAAGTCCATATAGAAAAGAATAACTAGAATCAAATTCAATCTAGGATATACACAATCACACTTAAACTAGGAAAGTTCATAACACTCCCCCTTGAGTGTGTAAATACTCAAGGTAGATTTAACATCATGCAGAAGTTAAGGAAGTCGAGTTGTCTGCACTGATTCAAAGGAACAACGCTTATTCTCAATAAGGTAAGAACTTGCATAAAGTAGTAAGTCTCATTACAAAACCCCTAAGGGTATGGCAAAAACCCGAATAGGGACAAAATCCAGAGTCTAAGGAAAAATGCGTGAGAAATGCAAAGTCAAAAGAAATGTCTACGGGACGTCATCAGAGATATAACCAGCCCAAGGTGGGTGCCTAGTTAAAACCTACTTAGGTAGCAAAAATCCAATGGAAAAAATGCTCCAAATCGTAAGGAAAAAGAGTACATTAAGATCAAGCAAGTATTCCTCACGATACTCCCTTTGAATTTTACACAATTCCAAAGATAACTAACAATGTTACAACTCAGAAAGTTTACGCATACCAATTCCTTGAACAAGCTTTCGAAACGTCGTCTTCGGCAGTGATTTGGTGAAAAGGTCGGCCAAATTGTCTTGTGAACAAATTTGCGTGACTTCAATCTTCTGATACTCTTGTTGTTGATGTGAGAAGAAGAACGTTGGTGCAATGTGCTTGGTGTTGTCTCATTTGATGTAACCTTTCTTGAGTTGTTCGATGCATGCTACGTTGTCTTCATCGATCATCATTGGGACATCACTGGCGGGGTAAAGATCGCATGAGCTTCGAATATGGCCCACAACTACTCTCAACCAAAAGCATTCTCGAGTTGCTTCATGTAAGGCGAGAATTTCAGCATGGTTAGACGAAGTGGCAACTAGGGTATGTTTAGTTGACCTCCAAGAGATTGCGGTGCCTCCAATGGTAAAGATATAACTCGTTTGAGAACGTGCCTTGTGCGGATTAGATAAGTATCTTGCGTCGGCATAACCAACAAGGCGAGAATCGACTTGAGAAGCAGGGGGTGCGATATCACTCGAGGATCCGTAGAGATAGAAGAATCCCAAATCAGTAGTACCCTTAAGGTAACGGAAGATGTCTTTAACACCAGTCCTGTGTCTGCGTGTTGGTGCAATACTGTATCTTACCAAAGGATTAACAGCGAAGGAGATATGGGGTTTAGTGCATTGAGCTAAGTATAATAAAGCGCCCATTGCACTTAGATAAGGAACTTTAAGCTGCAAAATCTTTTCATCATCCTCATTCAAACGGAAGGGATCTCATTTTGCATCTAGCGATCGAATGACCATAGGAGTACTCGAAGGCTTCACTTTATCCTCATTAAAGTGGCGCAACACCTTCCAAGTGTAATTTGTTTGATGTACTAAGATTCCATTTGAACAGTGCTCTATCTCGAGACTGAGATAGTATCGAGTTTTACCTATATCTTTCATCTTAAATTCTGACTTTAAGTGCGCAGCAGTTCTCGCGAGCTCTTCAAGAGCTTCTATGAGGTTCATGTCATCAATGTATACTGCAACTATCGCAAAACCGGAATGTGACTTCTTAATGAACACATAAGGGCATAGTTCGTTGTTCACATATCCCTAACTAGTCAAATATTTACTCAGATGGTTATACCATATTCTTCTAGAATGCTTCAAACCATAGAGTGAACACCTCAATCAAATTGATAGCGTGTTCTGGGGTTTGGAAATATTTGATCCAGTCAATGTAAGTCCTTTAGGAACTTTCATATAAATTTCCAAATCAAGATCCCCATAGAGATACGCAGTTACTGCGTCCATTAGCTGCATACTCAATTTTTCGGAAACTACCAACCTGATAAGGTAGCAAAAAGTAATCACATCCATAACGGGTCAATAAGTTTTGCCATAGTCAATCCCGGGGTTTTGTGAGAAACCTTGAGCAACAAGACAAGCTTTGTAACGCACAATTTTGTTCTTCTCATTACGCTTCCAAATGGAAACCCACTTGTAGCCAACGGGTTTCACATGTATAAGAGTAGAAGCTACGGGTCCAAACACCTTACGTTTTGCAAGCGAATCGAGTTCGACTTGAATTGCTTGTTTCCAGTTTGACCAATCGGTTCGACATCGACATTCATCAATGGAACGAGGTTTAATGTCATCCCTTAACATGATCTCAGTAGCTACTGCATATGCAAATGCATCATCGACGATCTTCTCATTTCTACGCCACACATCATCTAAGCTAGCATAATAAACCGAAATCTCACGATTCTCAGGAGGATGATTCATCTTTTCTAGGATGCTTCCGTAATCTAGAATTTCCTCATGAGTTGGATAGAATGAGTAAGCAACAGTTAGATTCACGGTAGGCTCTTCAGAAGCCTGTGCCGTGGGTTTCCTCTTTCGGGGGTGTGAATCATTTGAACCAAGAGGTCTGTCACGCTTTTGTGTAGGGGCAGATGGTTCCTCCTTAGCAAGGTATTTAGTTTGCAGAGTGTCATGAATATATCTTCAGATAAAGATCATAGCAGTGGCTTTCTTAGCTTCGCCAATAGGGTTGTCCATCTCATCTTCAATGACGGGACGTAAATTCTATGCAGTGAGGTGAAGCTTTACATCTTGGACCCACTTGAGGTAGTTCCTTCCAGAGACCTCCAAAATGGTGAAGTCAAGTTTGTTCAAATTCGACATGTTCCTACCACAAAGTAGATGGACAAGACGTGATTAGTGTAATGGAGAAAAATCAATCCATTCATATAGGGGTAGAACATTTAGGTTCTAATAGACATGTATTGGTTAAATTCACATGAAAAAGCTTCGGGTTTTCATGGTTGATGTTTTTAAGTGACAAACTTCAGGTTTTCAAACAAGGCATGTTTTTAGAAACTTCAGGTTTCAAAATAATTAGGAATTTCAGGTTCATATGTTCTCGCAGGCAAACGCAAATATATACACAAAAAAATATGCAACAAGGAAATATGCAAATAAAACTGCAAGTCTATAATTATAATTGAATTAATTATTTGGACTTCGAGCCAATTAAAAGTATGGGCAAAAAAATATAAAACTCATTAGGCCTAAAAATATTTAGGCAATTGAACTTGGGGCCCAAAATGAGGCCTAAGCCCACGAGTGGGCTTAATAAAAGGGTGTTGTGCATCCCAGGCCCAAAACTGGGTAGGTTTAGTTGATTAGGCCGAGAGGGATTTAGGCCCAATATATCATAGGCCCAAGATAAGCGTGGATTAGGTGGCACTCATGTAGTGTATTGGTTCTTCAGTTGCAAGCTGGGATCTTGTGCGGCATCGTGCACAGGAAGACACCGAAGCCACGTGGTCTGGTGTCATGAGTGGACCAAAGGGGAATTGCGATAGGTTGCAGCATGCAAGCCTAAAACCAATGCTGGGTTTTAGGTTAGGTCGAGACGAACCAAAGCCCAAAAGGCTATGTTGTTGGACCAAAAGAACAGCCCAGTCATGTGCTAGGTGTGCTTTGTTGGGGAAGAACACGATACCTGTCACTTTTAGCAGCGGTCTGGGATTATGGTTCATCGTAGAACCTCTTCCCAGGTGACGAAGAGTGAAATCTCGACGTCGTTGAACCCAGAAACCCTTGGGCTCGAGTTAGGGTTTTCGAACTCCGACAAGATTACGAAAATCTCAGCCACGATTTTGACGGGACGACTTCAGGTAGTCGGAAAAAGCAACCATTGTGGCTGGACATGGCTGCAGGCCATGCTTTCATCGAAAATCAGTGGTAATGCCGATGGTGGCGTCGAGTCCTGGTGTTGGAAACAAGTGGGGCTCCATGGTCTCGGCTGGCTCGCCAGTGTGGGTTCGAAGAATCCAAATGGCCTTTTTTTCATTTTTTCAATTCAAATAATTCAATGCATATTGAATTCAAATATTTTAATGTATGTACATATATTTGATGCAATTCATGGAAAATATCAAATTCACATAATTCAACAATTATGAATATAATG